GGATAATGTTTTAATTTAGCGTACATTTACTAGTCCCTCAAAATTAGCATCCCAAATATGTTTTCACAGATCTCCATTCACACCAACACAAGGGCAAGCACTTTTTTATTTCACACCCCGGCTGGAGATGGTGAGAGCTCTCTTATGTTGCAGTTGTTGGTTCATGTTACCTCTGCCTCTGGCAGGAAGTACGCCTGCTGTGACCTTGACCTTGGCCCTGCAAATCTGCTCAGAGCAGCAGAATTTCCATCATTCTCTTTCTCTCTCCTGCACGCCTACACATTGTGTTTGCATATTATAAACACTAAATAGCATTCGTTTTCAACCCCCTGACAACATCCATGTATTGGATGTATGTTACAGTTAAATTAAAAACCCAAGGAGATGCAGAATCACCACATAGTGCAAAAGAAGTTGAAAATTGGTTTCGACAGGTTGGAACCACATTAACTGTGGAAGCGTAAATAGTTGATGTTTTACTGAAGCTTCATGTAATGCATTTTGCCACTATATTCTCACAATATACAATAAATTGTGTCAAATTCAAGAGAGTTTTACTGGAGGTGACCCAGATAAAAGGCCTAGAAGATTTACATGTTGATGCGTGTTGTTACTAACTTGACACACAACCGGCCCACATCTATCTATCTGTTACCCACCGTCAGTATCTTGAACCTTAAATCTTGGGTTTGTAATCGCGTCTCACATCACGGCTCAAAAATACTGCCCGTTCAGCTGGCCGTGTTGAGAAATGCAATACATAAGAAATGCATCACACGGTTCAGCCGTGCCTATAACAACTCTACCATGCACGCACATAGAGCGAAGACGCACAGGCGCTATGGCGTGCACGCTCCTGTCGAGTGGATCAGACACGGGACTGTCTGATCTCTCCCCTCTCTTGTTTCACTGGTGACACACAAACTGACAGGGCCCACTTTGGTCTGGTTTGTCGGGCCACCGTTAATTGGCTGCCAAACCACAGACTAATACTACTTGAGGATATGTTGTGCTGACCTTGTTTCTACGTTCTGAAAAAGAAAAAGAAAAGCTTCCAGCAGTGTCTTTTGACACGCCGGTTCTAGGGAGCTGTTACAACAGTGGGTGAAAAAAGAGGGAACGTGGTGTCGGCAGTTAAAAAAATAACCCTTATTTTGATGATGATAGAGCTAATCTTTAACCAAAGGAAAGAAACCGTATTAACTGAAATGTTACATTAAGATTCATCCCTGAACCTCGGTAGTCTACGTTCCTATGGCTATAAACTTTGTAAAGGTTTTTCAGCTTTAGCTACTTACATTGGTGTTTAAAGAGATGCGTTGTTACTTTTATGACTAGTCTGCAGTACATTACTCTTATATTTAAAATCCCCAAAATACAATATAGAAGTACAACAAATAGCAATATATAGCCCATTACAGCCACAGATTGTTACTCTGCGACTGGTCTACTCTTCTCACTCTTTACCGATGTTGTGATAAGACGCACAGCGACAGCACACATAAGGCTGCGTGGTGTCACCTACACTACAGCACTGTACTGTGCAGAAACACACGTGCAGGGTTAGTGGAGACCAATGTCCTGCACCACGTTGAGGAAGTGTCATTCCGTTATTACTGCACCAAAGAAAAGACCAAGTTAATCAAACAAGGTTAGTGGAAAGGGAACTATTTCCCTAATATTGTCTTGATTTAATCCAGTTTTTTTTTCTATGGTTTAACACATATTCCTAAGATTGGTTGTACTGAGCAGCTCCCCGGTGCATGTTTGCAACATGGAAATGTGCAGTTATGTTCTGTCAACCTTCACTAAGTAACATAAAACCGCGCATTGCCATCCATTGATTTTTGCCAACTCACACAGAAGATGTGTAATCCCGCAGGAGCGTTATTTGAAGGTTAATCCTAGAGGGGTTTGACTTAAAATCAGGGAGCTTATCCCATAACTCACCTATTACTTATTCCGTACTTTACTTACTTTACTTTTTTCATGTTGTATTCTCATGGTTATAGTCAGCGACACAACGGGCGCCCTCCCGCCTCATCACTTACCTCAGCAAATCCAACGCTTCACTGGGACACTGTGGAGAAAAAGCCTCCACCTGGCAGACTGTTAATAAAGGTGACAGTGGGAGGGCGGAGGGGGAGGAGGAGGGGTGGAGGCTGCTGACTGAAGGCACGGAAAGCTTCACCTCGCTATCAGGTAACACTGTCCACCGTTTACAAACATGCGGGTACACACAATGTTACCATAAAATATTTCTCCCTTTTCTTTGCAACTATCAAGCAGAGTATGTCTTTGTGGAATCATAGCAGTTATCCTTATACCCCCGCCGCCCCAATTCCCACGCAAGTGGAGCCTCACCATGAATCACCGTCCGAGCAGCGACAGCAGTCATTTAGCATCGGCATCGGCATCCGGCTCTCCTGGCATCCACTGCCAGTGTCTCCCTCTGTTTGCCTTCTGCTCGACCTCCAACACCTCGCCACCTCCATGCACTACTCTAAGGCCATGGGACTTCATAAAGTCGGTTTCTACCCGTTACTTGGCAACAGGCAAGGGGAGTTTTGAGCTGAATATGGCTGCCATCGACGAGTTCCTATGTTGCTTTGACCTGAGACAGGCTTTTGTGGTGCGGCGGGAGCAGTTTATTTTTTTTTTGTTGAGGCGGGTTTCGTGCAACTCACATGCAATTTTCGCAGAAACAACAGCAGGCACATTCACTTCAACTGCTCTCTCATTTACATATCATATTGGCTGGAGTCATTTGCTTGATGCATCTTCTGCAGCTTCCACGTCTAGCGGTCCACGTGTGCCTTCTTATCACATCACTGCTCTCTGGCAAGTCTCACACGCGTCTCAGGCAGGTTTTTACTGCTCTTCTCTCGGCTGCAGACCTGTCCTTAATTAAACAACTTTTCTTTACATTTTCTTTTATCCTACATACTGTATGAACCAGGGCCAGGTGCAAACAATCTGCTTTAGATAGACCCCACATATGTTACATGTGTGATGTATATTGATCTCTGTTGAATGAATAAGTAAAATAAATATAAACAAGCGTAGCTGCTATGAGCGTTATAGCAGTATTAGAGCATCCCAAATGAGTTTGGAAATGGACCCAGTGCCATCAAGATCTAATTATAGATCCCCATTTACAATCCAAGTTAAAAAAGGATGTCCTCCATGGTGACATTCTGCCGCTGCTCATATTATTTAATTCATTGTCCCGTTTTAGGAACACTTATCGTGTACATGGACTAATGCTGCACCTTCCAAGTTAGTCTAAATGAAAGGCAAGATTGATTAACACCATGCATTTTGCATTTTAGTGAGAAAGGTTCATAGTTCAAATTAATAGATTTTTAACTATTGATTATATTTTCTAAAGTGGCGATTATCCTCTTCATCAATCAAATAACCATAAATGTTATAAATCAATTTCCCCATCATTTTGCTATTTAATATGAAGGCGTATCATGTGTCATGGCAACCCTCAGCCAACCCCAGAGCCAGTGTTGCCATGGCGATGCAGGTCTGGCATTGAGAAATTAAAGCTCTGCAGTGGTGTTGAGTTACACGGAGAGGGAGAGCTGTAGCCCACAGACAGCGTTCAGCGTGATCACAAGTGTGCAAGTAGTAACAGATAACAGGTGGATGACGAGAGTCACAGAGTGACTCATTCCTACAATGACACACTCCTAGTTGTGCGTGTGTTACTATATGCTCGGTTGATGTCGGCTCACGCCGTGTGCGCTTGTTGATTATTCGTATGCCTCATGCATGACAGGGAGTCCGAGAGATGGAGAGAGAGTGAGACAGGAGAACAGTCCAAGGCTACAGATTTAATCTGGCTGCTGTGGTCATGTGATTAATCGTGGCCAGGGGCCAGGGGATAGTGTAATTTATGGCGAGGGTGGAGTGGGGGGGGGGGGGGGGATCAACACATTTGGATGGTTGCTGCTCCTGAGGGAAATCTCACTCTCAAACCAATCCACTATTCTTCACCATGTTTCCCACCATATCACAAGTGTGACAGCAAGGGTTTGAGGCATGTCAGCCACTTCTGGGACTATAAAGATGATGAACTAGACTCCTGGTGTAGTTTTATCAAGCAAATGTGATAAGATGGATGGATGGATATGTGAATGCTAAATTGAAAGGCCTTTCCCGCAAATTTGTATGTTTGAAGCCAGAAAATGAAGTGAAGAACATTCTCTACAGCGAGCACATCAACAACAATGGCAGGTTCTTTTGGAGACTCGCAGAAGCAACGTTCACAATGGAGTCACATTTACATTCATTACCAGATGTAAAAGGGAATATTGATAGTCTACTGAGAATCCTCCGTCATTTAATCTCCCCTGTACTTCTGGCTGGAGACCCTCCCCCCCCCCCACACACACACACACCCTTCAGTCTCCTTCAGACCTCTGGTGTGTGTCTGTGTGTTTACTTAATCCTCTTTCCAACTCCAGGAACTGTAAACAAACATCAGAGGAGTTGGAGGAGGAAAGTGGAATCGGCTGTGTTGACACTTTTTGGTGGATTTTCTTTTGTTTCCATAACTGCCAAAATCAAGCCGTGCTGATGACAGCAGTTTCATACTGACCTTCACCCCCCCCCCCCCCCCCTCCCCTCCCCCCAGCAGCCCGCCAGCCAGCCCCATCCGACAGGAGTCACCTGCCTGGACGGACTTGCTGTCCAACTTTCCTGCCGCGGTGTTATTCATTCCCGATGGAGTTTGCGTCTCGGTTTACTTTTCCGGCGCATGGGCCATCTCAAGAGGGCTGTGGTTTATACACGCAGGTCTCCCTTCCGTCATTGTTTATTAGTCCGAAACAAATATGTAAACACTGGGACGTTTAAAGTGTCCTCTCACCCCATGTTGCAGTTTCATTGTCAAAATGTGTGACGCTCTCCAGCTTCACCGGCAACTTGTTTAAAGGTTAATGTTTCTGCCCAAGGGGTTTATAGAGACGGAGTGTGTGAACAGCCCAAATGGTTACATCATCGTTTAATCACTCCACAGTCCTGATGAAAACACAATTTTCCCATTTGACAGAGGACACGCAGACATAAACAAGCCTGCACACGGAGAGCTACTTTAACCTTGATCTTGTGCACATGGACTCCTCTGATGTCCAAGAGGTCCTTGAGGACTCGCATAAAGACTAAGGTTTACTGGGCTATTTAATTTGACACTGAATCAATCAGTAAATTGATTAGCATCTTTGACAGACGCAGACCCTAAAAGGGGAGTAATCAGATCCTCGCATTGCTCCAGGTGGGCTGTAAAAGATGAGAGAGAGTGCAACACAAATGTCCATAGAGATCTTAAAATCATTGCGATAGTGTCACACTATGTCACACACCATCAATGGCAACTGCTGTGCAATTATGCTTGACTCACAACTAAAAAAAGATATTAGGCACACTCGCCTGGAAAGTGGATGAGATCAAGTGGGACAGTTTCCAGAAGGCTTCAAAGAATATACAAGAAGTCACATGAGTAGTGACGTCTTGAAGATCCATTTGTAGCTTACAAATGTGTGTGTATTCATTTTCAGCGGGTTGTGGTTTCTCCGTGTGAATCATGTCGGTTGGGATCCAGGAGAAGCTGGAAAAAAAACAATTCATGATGCAACACATCAATGAAATGGAGTCCACAACAAGTGAATGATCTGTACAGAAAGGTGCATTTTTGTTATTTTATTAATTTAAAAAGTCCCTTTTGTTATGTTACAAATTGCAGTATACTAAACAAAAATATACAGTATAAATTGAAAATATAAAAGGAAATACTTATATGTATAAAAATTGATTGAATTGATTGCAAGCGTACAAAAAAGGATAAGTGATGCTCATTCTGTGGAACAGGTGTCTCCAGGCGCAGGATTCATTGTCCAATCGTCCACGTTTTCCAAACCCCAACGTGGTATTGACTTGCTGTTGTTCCCCGCTGAGCTTTCCCTCCCGCTCTGCTCCTCTCTGAACCACTGTTGGTTTGTTTGTTTGTTTGTTTTTTTCTCACCCACATTTTTTCTAACAAACCAAACCCAGATGTTTTTTTTCTTCTCGAGGACCAGTCTTGAGAAGAGAAAAGAAGAAGAACATATCATACCTTTGCCTTTCATTTAACAATAGCGAGATATTACTCAGCAGTAGAACCCCCCCCCTCCTCTCTCTTAAGCCATCACATCACATCGCTGCCTCTCTCCCCTCCTCTCCTCCCCCCTTTTCTCTTCCTCGTGAACACACGCGCTCGCTGGTTCCTCACCTCAGACGTTTGGTGCCGCCGTCGCTGCATCACATCTCTCTGCCTCTGATTCAGTCTGGTCTCCAGAGACCACCACCCCCCCGGGGGCCGGGGGGGGGGGGGGCGGGTGAGGGGTAGGGGGGGGGGGAGTGTCCACTAAAGGGGCGAGCCACAACAATGACCCGGTCCTGACTCAAATCGAGTGGATTAGCCAATCTATTCCGAGCTCTAATGAGATTAGAGACATGTGTCGCGGCGCCGTGGTACCTTCCGTTGAGCTCCTCGGGGGACATTTTCCCCGCCGACTGTCCTCCGCGCGCGGGAATGGGCGTTTTTGATCCTGAAGATGCGCCGCGGGTGCCGGGGGACAACAACAGACATTTGAATGCGCGCTCACCTGTGCAGCTTCTGTGGCGCGCGGATTCCTCGAAGTAGAAGCGGTAGAAGTAGTAGTAGTCGTAGTAGTCGTAGTAGTAGTAGTAGTAGTGGTGGCGGCGGTGGTCGCACAGGAGGACAACATGAAGTACCAGAAGTACATCACGGTGATGCAGATGGCCATGGGAGTGACAGCCTCCAACAAAGACTGCCTCCCCACCAAGAGGCAGCTGTGGTGAGTACGCGTCTTTTCTCTCATGTGAAGAACGCATCGCTTTGAAATGAGACCCCCCCCCGTGCGTCTCCTGCAAGTTAAAGCCCGAGCGGCTGACTCCATGTCTCACGCCGGTGGTGTCCTCACTTCTTTTTCGTTTTGTTGCCGTTTTAGTGTGCGCGTGCAGCCGGGCGCGAGGCCGTGTCTATTCGCCGTGTCCCTGTGTTGTGTTTTGACCCGGGGGAGTCTCACACGGAGCGGGCGGACCGAGCAGGTGTCCTCAGGACAACACGCGGCGCGCGCGCGGACAGGGTTCCGGTGTGCGCCGCGCGCGCGCGCCGCGTGTTTTTCTTCACGCGGGGCTCACGGCGGTCGTTCATTTGACGCTTTCGCGTGGCGATGTGGGGGATTTGTGCTTCCGCAGCAAGTGGCTGTTTCTGCGAGCTGGTGTTGGTTCAAAAAGAAAAAGGAAAAAGAAATGATTCCTTCTCTCATCTCTTATTCAGGAGCTTCATACCGCCTGAATTGAGATCATCATGTGGAGGAGTGATGCTCAAGTGGTTTACCATCGCTGGCTGCTCACGGGTCTCTGTCTCCACATACATGTAAACATCTAGTGTACTTCATATCAAACGCTGTTGTTATTTACGTATAACATTGTCACCCAGCTGGACAGACTGCTGCTCTTGTTCCACTGTAGCTGAACTGTTACCATCAGTTCCCCATCGGCACTGGTTCATTGTAAGGCAGCAGAGGAATATTTCTTATAAATCAACTGTTGATTATTTTAGAGCTAATCAAACAAGGTCAAAATAAAGTCACATCTAAAGTTCTTTTGTACTGTTAGCCAAACAAATCATGGACACGATTGATTGATTTTTCAATTTACGTCAAGCAGCTAGTCGAGACATCGAGAGAAATAACCATCAGATCCATAAAGTAAAGAGTAAAAAAATAAATAGGTAGAATCACAAAACACCGCACAGTAGTGCTCAGTCAAATTAAAGGCTCTCATTATTCACACTGTGGGCACGTTCATTTCTTCTTCTTCTGTAATCCACGTAGATAACATTAAGCACGAGGGTATTATCTCTCCGGATTGGCATTACTGTCCAGTGAAAAGACAAACACTGGTTTATTGCAACGGCAGCCCGGCGGAATTCAACCCATATGCACAAGCCTCCATCACCTGGCGGAGTCAGAAGTCATCACACGGTGCGAAAGGCTCTCTCCTCCCAGCTCGGGAGCGCTGTTGGATGTGTGGAAAAGGACTCGGCGGCGACTTGGTTTTGACACTTCTCCCTTAAGAGAGGCGCGGCGGTTTGTCTGGGGCCGTCGCATCGCGGTGGGGGAAGGGGCCACGGCCATTAAAATGGGATTACTGTATCGCCTCCGACAGCCACTTTAACGAAGGGGAGCTGAGCCGGCGTGTGCCTGCAGTGTGTGTTTCACGCAGTCGCCCCGTGCATTCGCTCGCATGTCACCTCCGTCTTTATTCGGGGCGAAGCCAGAGCCTGGAATCAGTAGGCTTGCATGCACCCAAGTAACTCGATTTACGACGACTACGCAGACTGAGGTGACGCTCCACAATGTAGCCAGAAGAACCAGGTTCACATGAACTGCTTGATCACTGCTGGAAGCTTCGAGCCAGATGTGTGGCAACCACTGGGCCTATCAGAGCAGGGAAATTATAGATGAGCAATGGAAGGACTTTTTTTTAGCTCTATTTATATTAGCAGACTCAAAACGTCTAAAGAAATCACATAATATAATAAAATAATAGTGTTATACGACACCTTGTTGAATAGGTGCCCTGGTACATGTGGGCTGTTCTATAAAGCTGTTGAATTGAATTTGGTACAAATGTCAGTTTACACTTAATAGTCTTTCCGGCCATTGATTCTAGAGTCGAGACGAAGGAGACGATGCATTAATAACTGCTCAGAGCGAAGCAGAAAGTGCAGGAGGAAGATGATTTAGGACGTCCTCTGACACACTCAGTTAATGTTTTTATAGCAACAAAAAAGACAAAGGGTGACGGAGTAGTTTAACCAAACAAGGAGACAAGGAGACATCCCTTAATATAGATGAGGGGGAGGTTGCACGCCAAACGGGATAATGATCTCCAAAAAGACTTGAACCCATGATTAAAAACCAACTACCATCAATCTGTCATGTTTAAAGGAGAGTTTAATGCATCCACAGTGAGACGAACACGTCGCTACTTAAGGATGCATCAAAAATGCAACATGTTTGAGTATTCAACATTTTATTTATGGGTATTGATGCATGCCCAACAACGATTAGTGATTTCCATACATAAACTTGACAACCACCTGTGATATATTTCTAAGCTCAATAAAGCTACAATGTGTGAGTGCTTATCCTGACCAGCTGCTTTCAAGATGTAATTATTTGTACAAAGGTTCTTCTGCAGATCATCTGTAGCAGCTTTATCTAACTGGGTTCAGCATTTGCATTGCTTTAACCTTCTTGAGGCAATACTAGTGAAATTCAAATCATTTCCAAAACTTGGTAATCTTATATATTTAGGGAGCTCATTCAGACTGTGGCTTTTTTCATATTGTGCTCTGAATACACTTGTGTAGCAGAGGGTGTTCATTCCCATCTGGCGTAGTCTGTGCACTGACGGATTCACGTGGCGGTTTTCAGGGAGAGGATTTTATTCAAGTTATACTGAAAAGGGAAAATGATGAGTTCTTTGTGTAACTGTATAACTTTGCATTCAGCAATATATCACAAAATAGTTTGCAACTTAGCACAAAGATATTGTTTGTTTGTCCGCAGCTCTATCTGCAAAACTGTGAGACGCACTCTGCCACCGCTGAGAGTCGTGTCACGGTGCGGAAGTCCCTGATTTCCCATCGTACATGCCTACGGCAATGTGCTGTGCAAATGACAAACTAAACTAGTTTAGAGGTGTGAAAGTATACGACTCCATCATTGTTATTATACAAAACACACGGGGGTCCGTAACAAGCACAACACTAATTAGCTTGAGATGTCCCATACATAATAATTAGCCTGATGACGTCTGTTCCAACGGGTCGCCGCTCGTCCTAACGTGGGCGTATCGGCCGGCATTGTGTACCAGATGTCTGCTCGGCTCCCAGTTCCAGTCCACAGTGGCGGCTCTGCCTGGTGTTCTCAGTCCACCTGCTTAATGATGCATAAAGTCAGCGTCCCGCCTTCCCCCAACACACACACACACACACACACACACACACACACACACACACACACACACACACACACACACACACGCACACACGCAGCAGCCCTTCTGCCCTCCGGTTTGCCTGTCTGTCCACACGTCCTCCCTCCAAGCTCTTCAGGGGAACACACACATTCAGCCACTCCTGTCCTAACCCCCTCCACTCATCCAGTTCAGCTCATGGGGGCCACGATGCGTAATCTCACCAAACTGACAATGCCGCGCATTAGTTACCTCCAGTCCAGGATGGGCCTGTCATGAGAATCAGTAGTTTTTCGGAAAAACATGCAGAAGTATTTTACTCTCAGTATCTCGCTGTCCTGCTCTCCCTGAAGTAAAAAAAATAAAAAGCTGTTTTTGTATCAGTGTCATGAAGTCTGACTTCACGAGGGGCTTTGCACGCATCACCACACTTTCCACAGCTCTTTTCAGAGTATGTGCGAAGGTGCACATGCAAGAGTTTGTGTGTGTTTTTGTATGCAGTGTTTCTGTCCATTAGGAACTCGCATGTTCTTACTTTGGCAGAACGGTTGTAATCTCCTCTCAGATGGTTTATGCCACTAAAGGGAACAGATTACACAGGGTTTATTGACTCGTGGCTCGCCCCCCTCACCCCCACCCGCTCCCTGAGCATCCTGTGGCCGTGTGTCCATGTGTTTGTTGGTGTGAATGTTAGCTTGTGTGTGAGTGTAGATGTTTGGGTGTTTGTGCGAGTATTTTTCACTGCTGGCATTCTACATATGTATTGCTTATTTCCGCCATGTTGTCTTTCTTCATGCATTTTTCGCATGATGAAAATGGAATAGCGATTTGGTCCTTGGTATGAGACTGTAGCATATAGGAGAATACAATAGCTAAAATGTGTGAACTTTGTATTTGACACTTTGAATGCTAGAGAGTCAGATTGTCCAAACGAAATGCATGTGTCATATGCACTCCAGTCCAAATAAAGGAAGTTGTCTACGTTAAAATTTCATTTTTAATAATATTTGCAATAAGCGTGTCATCAACAAAGACATAAGAGAAAACGGTGATGGTTGCAGAGGCCCATCGGAGACCCATCGTCTCAAGTCAGAGTCAAACTGCGAGCAGCCACGACTCCTAGAATGTGTGAGTCACGCCGCCCCGGCCTCTGGTGACTCTGGACCGTCACCGTGGCTCGCAGGGAGCTGACAAGATGGAATCCATCGCTGCCCTGCCACAAATAGCGAAGGACACAGCAGAAGGGATCCGCTTCGGTCCGACAGAGACCTCAATCTATTCATTTTGAATCTTTCCCTCTGCTTGGCAGATTTACATCGCGTTAATATTTCCCAATGTTTTGTTTCTTAAATTAAAAAAGTTGCCACGATTTCAGTCGTACAATCGTCACTGTACGAGCCCCATGTACACATGTTCATGTGTGTTGCAGGATGTGTAAAAACATGCTACTCGCGTCTCGCTGGCCTCCTCCTCTCTGCTGCTCACACGTTGAGCTTTACCGCGCAGTGAAGTGGAGTTAACAGTGGAGCCACCAGCCGTGGACCTGCTCGCCGCCCTGCGCTCCACAGGGGTCAGACAGCCCGCGGACATCAGCGCCGTCCCGCCTTGTTTGATACATGTCTATATGCCTAATCTGCTCTGCCCATCTGTCAGGCCTGTCTGGCCTACTCAGAGTCTTGATCTCGCACACACAGACTTTTCGGCGGCATCCTCGCTGTCCAAGTGGTTGTCAAAGTCTCCAAACTAGTAAGTAAAAGTGTTTTTTTGTGGTTTTCTTTCAGATTTCTCAGACGTTTTCAAGGACGACAACATGTTAGTCATTGGTCAATCATCTTCTGTTAGGGAGGGTCAGTGAGGTTGTCTGGATGAAGTAGGATGTGTCATGCACCTCTTGTCTCCACTTGTCCCCTGAAGTAGGAGGGGGGGGGGACCCGAGGGCCGAATGATGCAAGTTCATCGGCTGCAATCACTTCCAGCTGAACAGTCAGGCATTATGAAGCAGTCAGAACGACCTCTGAGCCATATGCTGACAGTGTCCCTCTGTCCTCTGTCCCTTTGCATCATGGGCTTTCTTGTTCTGTCTTTCGGCCCCTTTTCTTCCCTCTCTGCCTCTCGGCCCCATGCTTTGTCCACCTGTCATTCTTTGTCTCATTGCTTTGACTTTAATTTTTTTTACCTTTACTAAACAGTAAAAACAAGCTGCTTGCATACGGGCACCATCCATCCTTCTTCTAAAAGGTTCAAGAGGAGAAATCAGCCGAGATATTTTTGATGCGCTGATGCAACTGTTCAACAAACTGGTAGATATGTGCAAAGGTAAATCACAGCACCGAAAGCTATCTTCTCAGTGCTCCATTGTTATCAGAGCTGTTGGAGACGTACGGCCCGCGATGGGATCATGTCTCTGTATGTGTGACTCACGGCGTCGCCGCCGCTAAAGGTGGAGGTGTCACCGTGGCGATGAGACACACCTGCTTTTGTCCCTGTAATTCTCACTGAGCGGAACCAGTTGTTCTGCAGCGTGCTCTCCATCTGAAGACCTGCCATGACATGTTGGCTCTGGGGTAACAGGAGGATGTGCCCTGGTGGCCCCTCCACGTGCACTCCACCCCCCCGTTACACCCGCTGAGCAGGCTCAGGGAATGCTGTCTACGAGCTCAAATAAAGCCGGTCGCTGGCTTAAATATGCATTTGTGCCAAATGTTCAAGATAGCTGGCCATTCTGTCCCTTCAAATCTGTTTAGATGTCATTTTAGGCACTACTGAGTAGAATAGGAAATATGAACATGAAGGTTAGTCCTTCAAAAAACGTACATCGGTTTTGATGTATGGTTTTGCTGCTTCGAAGGCAAAAAAGAACTTAATAATATTTTAAGTCATTGAAATACAGTCATATTTTTGTCAGGCAAAAGTCCAGTATGATTAAAAAAGGGAGGTTTTGGACAGATATGGTTGCCAAAAATATACAACAGTGAGGTAGAAATTTTAGTTTGATAAATGTATTAATTAATTTAATCAGGTTTTACATCTAACCATATAAAAACAGAATGACACTTGTCTGGTGATTCACTGATCGATGAATCAATGAATGATTTTTCTACAGTTGGACTGTAACATTTACACGTTGCTGGGAGGAGATCAGCTGTAAAGCTTTGCTAATGACCTCTTAAATCCAGGGCAGGAGGGAGATTCTCTATTTTGGGCTGAAGTCTCATGTAATATTCATAAACTCACTGTAGTCAATGGCTAATGCTCCTTATTATACATCTTTTTGTGCTGCACAATGTTTGCACTGAAGGGGTCACTTGAGGGGATTCCTGCCTGAGTTTTCTCCACATTTCTCCAGTAAAAAATGAAACTAACTTCAGTCTGCACCGACTGTGTCTAATCCGATAGCCAGCATGGCTCAATAAACTGTATCTTTCCTAAATTCCTGCAGCATAACTGATGATAAATCATTCATAGGCCAGCAGCTCGTGAGCAGTCACACTTCTGGTGCTGTGTATCATTTTAATATTTGTATTTTGAAGTTTGAACTGCTTGTCGACCAAACGTTACATCGTCAAAACACAGTGTTTGAGTCTTACTTTTTGTTCATACAGAGCTCAACTTACATCACAGATCTGTGTTGTATAGTATGTGAAAAGAGAGGACAAACAACAGTAAATTACAATAGTGCCATTTGGTCAAGTCGAGTCAACAACAGCCATGAACTCACTTGTTTACGCTGCGGCTTTGCTTCTCTCGGATTCGATCAGTTCTACTCATTGATTGTGTAAGAGTGATACACATTGTTTAATGCAATGATATCCCCTTTTAATTCTTTGGCGGGAACTTTCATAATAAAAACAAAATCCGTGTAAAAGAAGCTCTGATGTTTATCATCCTTGAGCCAATTCGCCCACGTTTCTTTGTCCTGTTGCTCTTTAATGAAGTTATCTGTTCAAACGGGATTAGGGATCGGGCTTCGGGTTGTGGAGTCGGCCTCCTTTAGTGACACACATATGCTCCATGTCAGCACTCCTCATTCTTAGAAACAGAGTTCAAACCCACAGAGCTGCATAAGCTGCTGCTGGATGTCTGTATGGAATCTCCTTGTAAAAGCAACACCGGGATTATAGTGATTCAGTTTGTGTCCTAGCTGTTGGTAAACAAACACGTGTGTGGACACTGTGCACAGGTCACGTAGAGGATAGGGATTGAATGGCACTAATGACTTATTAGGAACCATTAAGTTCTCATGGACTGTAACCGAGAGATGTCAGCACGGCCCGTTGAGAACAACATGAAACTAGAACACTCGGCTGAGTGCAGATCTCAGTGTCTGCAACGACCATGGCGGTATTTTAGGATCGCGTGAGAGGCCAGTGAGGAATAAGAAACAGGGCTTTTTAGCATGCGGACAGAACTCGCCGGCCAAAATATTGTGCGGTTTGCTGGAGCGCAGCGCAAAATTAGCCGTGGAAAAAAAAAAAGAGGCGCACTCTCACCCATTTTCAGACACACAGACACATTATTATTCATATGATAATAAAGGATTTGGGATACTTTAAAAGACGTTGCTGTTACGTCATCAGCTAAAACAAAAACTTGTACCAATTGTGGTGCAAAAGATGCTTTCTCCATTTATAATTTAATGGAGCTATTGTAGTTATTTAATCCAATATTTTGATCTCAGTTAAGATTATTTCTAATTCATAAAATACTGAGAGTTAAGTTGTTAGTTAAAATATTTCCCTCTTAATTTCCTGTTGACTGACTGTTTTTGTTCACCGATGACTTCAGAGAGCTGGCTATAGAATGTGTTGTAGTTGATGATGCACAATAATCCAGTATGTGTCTAGAGGGTTGCGAATCATATTGTCTTTTGAGGAGTTTGAAATAGACCCGAATAGAATAGAAAGTGACAGGAGCAGTAACATTCCTTACCTTAAAATAGCATCTGTTTCCCTCTCACAATGACACGTTATCTCTATCAATAATCCGTTGCCATGTTGATAGCTGATAAGAAGAAAATGCCAATCTTGGATCTTGCACCTGTAAGGAGTGATGACTAACTGGCAGAATTGCATTGAGGGTTTCTTCTTTTTGTTGCAGTTCACCTTAAGCTACCTTGGAAATCCCCCCCATCCCTTTGCAGCAGTGCATATAAAAAGAGCTTCAGTGTGGCTTAATAACAGAAGACGAGTGGAGGCTTTATACCGCGTCTCCATGTGCAAGCTACCCGCTGACATTCAACCCAATTATTTACACATGCTGGGATGCAACTACAGCCAACAGGAGAGGATGTCCTTTAAAAAGTGAAGACAGCAAGAGGAAAGTTATGTCACTTAGATCCTCCAGGCAATGCTATGCTTTCCCTCAAACACGCTGCCCGGCCTGCCAGCAGTACGGATTGTTCTTTTGATAATACATGATGACTGCGAAGCACGTGGTCTTTGATGGATGTGGTCCAAGCACACCAGCTGTTCCACATCAGGCACATTCAGGGGTGGAGAACCACACATAGACAGCTTTCATTTTAATTCCGACCACATTAACGTTTAACACTGTGTGGCTGAGGCAGTAGACGGCAATGCATTTGTGTGCCGGCACCGTTTCACGTCTTTGTTTCTCCGTGTGCCTTGTTGCAGGGTGACGCCCCAAGATGGAGATACATCCCCTTCAGGTGATCCCGGGTGTTCAGACAGGGCCACAGGTGCTAGCGGTGGTGCTATGGCGATGCCTGCCACCTCCACCCTCTCGTTGCCCGTGAGCCAGGGTAAACCTTCCCTGCGTCGCATCAAAGGCCGCATTCACCGCAGCAAGAGCCTGGACAGCATGGACCTGCTCGACTCCAACGTAAGGCGCATCCATGATCGGACCCTCGCACATGTACACACACGGGAGGAGTTCAGGAGAATTAGCAGTATATTAAGCAATTCAGCTTAAAATAGGACTAATGGTTAATTGATTATCAGAATTGATTTGGTTCTAGTTTGAGTGCTGTATCTTAATGGGAACAAATAGTGTCAAAATACCGCCCTGTTTAAATTTTAAAAGAATAACAAACAGAACTTGCTGCTGGAAAAACATTTTATATATTTCATTGTCCTGTATTAAAGATAAGATGTGATTACATTGACTAAAGCACAGGTATGTATGTCTGAGGTACCCAAACACATAATCTTTAAATGGTTTATTTCAGATTTAACATTTGCACAAGCGACAGCAACTAATACTCACGCCATTACACTCAAACACACACACACACACACACACACGCACACGTACACAGTGTGACCTTTGGTTATGTAACATATCTTTGATTTTCAGATGGGCACAGTGTTAACACATTCATACGTCTCTCTCTATGACTGGTTTGTTCTCATGAAAAGTATTAATCTGATAAATGATTGGCGTAAGCTGCTTGGACCTTAAAACCCTCACTAACTCTGGGATTGCCATCGAGCTGAGGACTACGCTTGGCCCTCTTTTGCCACTGGTCAACTCGTGCGTGAGCGACTTGTGCTTGTGTTCGTACCTGTTTGTGTGTGTGTGTGTGTGTGTGTGGCTTTTGGGAAAGCAACCAACAGTTTATGATGTAAAAGCACGCCAACCTGCTACTAATGCGTGCTTGGTGAGGCTGGATTTTTTGTGTCATTGGACACAGAAACATAAATCTCTGTCCTGCTGCCGCACTACTGAACGTCTCTTCCCCCACTACCTGTGTTGACCCTCGGTAGATGTCTCCTCTGATAGATGTTTCCTCATCTGCCAGCGTCCTTCCTCTCCATGTTGACGGTCTGCAATGTGTGTGTGTGTGTGGGTTTGGGTGTTGGGTATTGTAGTTGGGCTTCATTGGGAGCAGCCTGCTGTTCCCGTGTGAGGAGGCGTTATTCTCCAGCGGCCCGCCTGTCATCAGAGAAGAACCGCGACTCCTTATATTACAGTTCACGCAGGTGAACCTGTTATTGATGTGTAGGCGCGTTCAAGGTAAAGAGAGGAGGTCACGGGGTGGGATTTGACTGCCATGAAGCATATCATCCTCAAACTGAATGATGCAGCGCACACACACACACACACACACACCTGTTTGACGCGGTTTGTCGGTTTCATTGACTCCTGGCATTGAGTTTCCTGTCCTGTCTTATTTTAAGACAGAGGCAAAAATATCCCATAGATTTTTAGAACAACCTCTCTGCTGCATAATTGTCGGGCCTAAATCGAACTTTTACTGCCCTTTGCTGACATTATCCCAGTAAGAGCAGAGGCGGGTTGCGCTGCAGCTCTAGAGGCGGATGGCGAATGAAAGTTAGATGCAACTTTGCTGTTATGTCATCAGCTAAAACAAAAACTTGTAGCAATTGTGGAACAAAAGATGCTTTTTCCATTTATAATTAAAAAGAATAGTAGCTATTGTAGTTATTTAATCCAATATTTTGATCTCAGGTAAGATTATTTCTATAAGATTAGCTGTGTTAGTAAAACATATTTAATGATTTGAATTATTAAATGACGTTGTCCTAAATTGACACTGACATATTTTCTGACAAAGTTAAAACAGCTCTTGATTTTTTTTATAAATATAATGACGGTAGTGGGCTTGTTTGCGTTTATTAGTAGCACCGCAAATCTCATGAAATGACACTCACTCACTAATTATCAGGCAGATTCACTAAGCTTTTGAATGTAAAATCAAACTGAGATGACATTCAATCCTCCCTTGTAAGGAATAATGCCGACAGGCTTTGTTAAATATATTTACAGTGATGTGGAGGACAGCAGCCCTGACCAGAGACATTATGTTTATGTTCGGCCGTCCGTAAATTTGTTCCATTCTAGTGGACACGATGTGTCAGGAGCACCTTCAGACCATTTCTTCAAATTTGGCCCAAGGCAGTAAATAAAGGAAAAATGGTCTTTGGGAAATATTAGAAATACTCAGTGTCGTCTCAGCAGACTGGAGTCTGTGTTTAAGTGTCATAGTGGAGAGAAAGTAAACAAACTGATTTTATGTGATGCAGTTTGACGCTGAAGTAGATTTGTGTTCATGTCTGTGGGTTAGAGACGAAGGGGACTTTAACGGGGATCCAAAACTGGTGTTGCTGCTTTATGGAGGGTTTGATAGAATCTATTGGAATAAGTTTATTCCAAGACATTATTCCACTAAATTGTTGCATAACAAGGGGAGCCTCACAAGCCCCCATGAAGCTAATTTTAACATGTTATCCAAATGACATTGTCCGAGTCTGTAACATAATCCCTGTGGCCCCAAACATATTTATTTTCCATAGACTTGAATAGGAAAGGAGATCTGGAAAATCAATTTGATTTAATCATTTTATTCTCGGAAGTCAAACTTTTGCAGTTCCATGCATTGTTAAGCGTGTCCTCGTCTACGACAGAGTATTTAGTTGTCTTCATACATCCATGTGACACGATCATGACCTCAAAATAAACAGAAGTAATGACACAGCCAAGCCACAATTTATTCAAAAACAAATCTTATACAGTGTTGTTTTCTCCTTAATACAGCCATTTTTGGTCTATGCAGATAGGCCGAAAGGCATTTTTTACAGAAGGCATTCTGACAAGTTCACTCTTCACTAAAAGAGAAGCAGACGTATAAGTTAACATAATGAAATGCAAATTTCTGTTCAACTGCCTCAGTTTCAGGCTCCCGGTGTCGTGCACGCTGGCTCCCTGTCGTGATTTACTGGGACACTTGAATAGAGCCGTCGTTAGTGAAACAGGCTCATTAACCCCAAACAGACAACAACAACTGTCATCATGGCGTGTGAGATCAACTGTCACCCCCTTGGTTATCTAAGTTGTACAATAAATCACAGCAGTTTCAGAGTGGTTTTATTCAAGATGTAGTTAATAGTTTATGACAAAGGTATGAATAGGATGTGATTACAAACCTCACCACCTCGATAATTCACGTCTGTCGGGCTTCATCAAAAAGCCATGGAAAGTTTCCAACTTTGAATATTCCCAGAATTTTGCAACCGTATGTACTAGCAGTAAATCTCATATACAACATTTTATATCCTATACATTATTCAGCTGAGGTCAAAGATTTTATATGACGGTTGAGCACTTCTGTACGCCTTCTTTTCCCATCAAGAATATCGAAGATGCAGACTATAAAAAGGCCTCGGTATCCATTTCATCTCTCTTCATTCAACAGTATCAGATGCTTTGAGCACGTTTCTCTTGCAATGCTGTCGACCATCACAAGATGTGCACCGGTGTAAATCTGTAGCATGAATAATAGATTGTAATCGTTTTCTTTCTTTTACTTGCAGCTATTTTTGTGTGATGAAAGTAACAATTCCAGAAACGTTGTGAAGAAGAGAATCTGAAGTCTGTGGTTAAACTGGGATATCTCACCTGGGATCACAGCTATAATTTGTTCAATACCCACCGATGGCTCCTCTATTTTTCTTCTAATGCCAAGTATGCTGCCAATGTGTTATATTCCTCTTAAGGGTGAACTGATATTCTTAGTCCTTGTGCTGAAAGTACACACTGTTTTGGTGAGATCAATGAGGCACTGCTCCACCGCTTTGGCTTAAATTTCCAGTTAGTCCAAATAAGGCAAAGGCAATAGACGAAGAGGCTTCAAAGGAGGGTGAGGATTAGTCAATGACCAACATGTATATTTCAGGGCTTTTGAAATGGAGTCTTGGACTTGATCACCATTCAAGGTTAATATTTCTCATTTGGAAATTTAAGCCAAAGCGGTGGAGCAGTGCCTCATTGATCTCACCACTTTCAGCACAAGGACTAAGATCTGGAAAATCAATTTGATTTAATCATTTTATTCTCGGAAGTCAAACTTTTGCAGCTTGTTAGTGTTCCCAAAAAAAGACAATTATGAGGAATTGACTTAATTGTTTAGGGTTTGGTTAAGCTTCAGTAACTAAAACTCCTCGATTCCTAAAGACTCATTGAAATGAATCATCTGTCCCTGTTTTAATTACCACCAATGATGTCATGTTTTTGGTCCGGTTAGTTTGTCCACTCTGTGGGAGGGAGTAACATGGGCCAAGAAGGAACCCGTTGTATTTTGGAGCAGATTGCTCTCAATGAGTTCCCTCCTTGTAGGTTTTCATTCATCTCTAGTAATCTGCTTACAAATCTTTCATGACTCATCCCTTCTGAAGCGGATACATATTCAGCCAATCAAATGTGATGTAAGGTGACTGGCTACACCCCCCCACCTCCCCTCCCGCCACCCACCAATTACAACCACACGAGCCAAACATCGCAGACGATGGGCGTTCTGAAGCACTCCCTCCGTTTCGTGGTCGTAGATGAGGTGTGATTTATCCATTGCACCCTTGCCCTCCCCTCCCCGAGCAAACCACATAGGAGATGGAGATGTGTGTGGAGGCCAACCGCCCTCATCTCTCCACGCCTATTGACCATATTGATCTTTATTGAGCTTTCCTGTACAATGGTAACACAATGGTCCCTACTTTATTGTTGTGTGTTTACAGATTTATGTTGTGAATAAAATTTGAAAGAACAGATAAAACATTCTTTTTTTCTGGTCTGAGAGTGTACAATCCTTATTACACACGGCGTTGCTTCTCTTGGTTGCTCCAAAATGTTCAAAACCTCCTTCAAATCCGTGCCACTAACGTTTAGCGTCATCACTGATCTCCTGGTATATTTTTACTGAAAGCAAAATCATATTTGTTGACATGCATCTTTTTGTAGATTAGCACGTGGAGTAAACAGACGAGCAGCATATTTTGCCTTTTCTAAGTTGAGTAGCATTTCCTTCGCCAGCCTCCTTCCTGTGCTGAGGCTAGACCACTCAGGTCTCTGCTGCGCTGATGGGTGCC